TTGCAATCACCCCTTTCCATCGAAGGTTTCCACGATTTGCTGTGGGACAGGAGCACTACCAATTCACGACCCTTCCTTTTGGTATTTCTGTGGCCACCAAACTCAGAAAATGGGGTGTCCAAATGTTCCCCTATGTTGACGATTGGCTCCTCAGAGGGGAGTCGAAAAGCCAGGTGAAAAATCACATCACCACAGTCCGGAAACTCTTTCAAGACCTAGGTCTCCTTTTAAACCTGGACAAATCCACCCTAACACCTACCCAGACAATAAAATTTGTGGGTGCCACCCTCAACTCCCAGTCTCAAAGAGCTTCTCTACCCAGCTCCCACTTTCTCATGCTACAGACAGCGGTTAGATCGCTCCAAAACTTTCCAGTAATCTCTGCCTGCGCTTGCATGCATCTATTGGGTCTCATGGCTGCCTGCACTTACGTTGTGCAACACGCCAGGCTGTGCATACGCCCGCTACAGATATGGCTATCGCGAATCCACAACCCGGCTACCCACTCCTGGGACAGAGTGTTGACCATCCCTGCCCCTGTTCTCCTTGCGCTGGAGTGGTGGACCCATCAAGCGGAAGTCTGCGCAGGAGTCTCATTCTCCCAACCCGTCCCGTCCATCCGACTGGTCACAGACATGTCGGACACGGGTTGGGGATCCCACCTGGGAGAGCTGCTCACTCAAGGTACGTGGTCCCCACAAAAAACTTCCCTGCATATCAATGTTGGGGAACTCAGGGTAGCCTGCTTGGCTTTTGTGGCTTTCCTTCCCCACCTGAGAGGCAAGCCAGTCCTCATCCTGTCAGATAACACGACAGTGGTGGCGTATATAAACAAACAGGGTGGGGCTTGATCCCCTCACCTGTGCTCAGAGGCGATTTACCTGTGGGAACCCTGCTTTGGGGCGATTAGCCACCCAATGGCATTGTATCTCCCGGGCTCCCAGAACGTCCTGGTGGAGAGGTTGAGCAGATCGTTTGCGAACCATGAGTGATCCCTGCGTTGGGATGCTACCCAAGCTATCTTCTGCATGTGGGGATTTCCCCACCTGGACCTGTTCTCAACATGGCAGAACACGATGTGCCCCCACTACTGCTCCCTCATGGGACAGGGACGTGGTTCCTTAGGGGATGCTGTCCTCCTCCACTGGCCGCAGGGCCTGCTGTATGCCTTCCTGCCCTTCCCCCTAGTTCACAAGGTCCTCCTGAAGGTGCGGGAATTCAATCATTAAGCCTAATTGCCCCAGTGTGGCCCAGGCTACACTGGTTTTCGACCCTCTTCAACCTCTCATGAGAGAGGCCCATAATCCTCCCACCGGACCCAGACCTGATATACCCGGACTCGTGCAGGCTTTACCACCCAGATCTGCAGTCCCTCCACTTGACAGTCCCTCCGTGGTTAACGGCAGAGGAGCTTTCGTGCTCTCAACGAGTTCAGGAAGTCCTGCTGGGTAGCAGAAAACCTTCCACTAGAGCCACATACCTCGCTAAGTGAAAGCTGTTTTGCTGTTGGGCTTCTCAGAAGGAGGTGCACCCGAGGTGGGCACCAGTACCCCTGATCCAGAATTACTTGTTGGACCTCAGGCTCCAGCATCTCTCTTCCTTCTCCATTAAGGTCCACCTAGCGGACATCTCGGCTTTTCACCCAGGGGAAGGGGGGGAACGCTATTTGCCAACTGTGACGGGGTAGTTGGCAAGGCAGCACCGCCCCGCACTAGAGCCGACCCTGGACCTCGGGCTGGAGATGGGGGAGAGGGGGCGCATGGAGATAGGGCGGTGGCAGATAGCCTCAGTGAGGAAAGGGCCACGTTAGAGGCACCCCGCAGGACTGCGATCGTGGACTGCCGGGCAGACCCGGCACGTCCAGATGACGCCACTGGTGACGTCATGTGCGAGCCCCGGAAAGGCAAGACGGGGAATGCGGGGGCAAGGCTGACCGTAGACGCCGGGGCGGGTGATTCAAAAGGGCTGAAGGGCTAGGACGGAGAGGGGGGTGAGCCGGAGAGAAGTGATGCCCACCCCAGGAGGAGATGAGTGGTAAGCCTGGCTCCAAGCTAGTAGCCAGGAATTAGAGGAGTCTTGGGGGAAGAGGTGGCACAGGGCAGAGCTGTGGAACCTGTGAGTGGAGGGTTTAGGGGCTGCAACCCCCTCCTCTGAGTAGGGACGAGTGTCCCTTCCTTAGGGCCCTGGGCCAGGGCTCGGAGAGAGGGAGGGCCTGACCCCCCTTCCCCGACCCTGGGGGTTCATCAACGCCAAACCCCTAGGGGCTCTTTCTACTACTAACGCAGTCCAGAGCAGGACCAGCCAGAAAGGACCGCAAGTTTGCGCTTATAGCAACAAACATTTACCGTCCCATATGGGAGAGGACGGCTACGATTAGGGGGAACTGGTGAGACCAACCCAATGGTCAACAGGTTCCTAAAAGGAATGGATAGAGTCTATCCGCATATCCAGCAACCCATTCCTCAGTGGGACCTGAACTTGGTCCTATCCAAGCTTATGGGGCCTCTGTTCGAACCACTAGCCACGTGCTCCCTCCTTCACCTGTCATATAAGGTATCCCTCTTAGTGGCAATCACATCCGCAAGGCGGGTATCTGAACTTAGGGTGCTGATGTCATAGCTCCCTACACAGAGCTATTTAAGGACAAGGTTCAGCTCTGCCATCACCCAGCTTTTCTGCCGAAGGTGATATCTTCATGCCACACTCCCAGGACATTTTTCTGTCAGTCTTTTACTCAAAACCACACGCATCTGGAAAAGAGCAGGCTCTACACACATTAGACGTCTGAAGAGCGTTAGCCTTTTATTTAGACCGGACCAAACCATTCCAAAAATCACCACAACTTTTCATAGCCATCGCGGAACGCATGAGAGGCCAACCTGTATCCACTCAGCGAATCGCATCTTGGATAACTGCCTGTATCAAGGAGTGCTACTCCCTAGCGGGCATCTCAGCCCCAACCATTAGAGCACACTCCATGAGAGCTGTAGCAGCTTCCACCGCTTTTGCAGCGCAGGTTCCCTTCCTGAACATCTGCAGGGCCGCCACATGGTCCTCAGTCCACACATTTGTCAACCACTATACACTGTTGCATCAGGCCAGAGAGGATGCTGCCCTACGTAGGGTGGTCCTCAACTTCTCCATGGTCTCGACATCCGGCCCTCCGCCTAGTTAGGTTCTGCTTTGGAGTCACCTATACAGGCAGTCTCTGGGTTACATACAAGATAGGGACTGTAGGTTTGTTCTTAAGTTGAATTTGTATGTAAGTCGGAACTGGCGTCCAGATTCAGCCACTGTTGAAACAGGCCAGCAGCGGCTGAATTGGACACTCCTGGGGCAGACCAGCTGGGGTGCTGCTGGTTTGGTCCTACAGCGCTGCTCCTCGGCACTACTGAACCAACCCGGCAGCACCCCAGCTGCTCTGCCCCAGGTTTCCCCAAGTCAGCCGCTGCTGAAACTGACCAGCGGCTGACTACAGAAAGCCCGAGGCAGAGCTGCTCTGCCCCGGGCTTCCTGGAATCAGCCGCTGATCAGTTTCAACAGC